TTGGCAAGAGAAAAGCCAAATTAAATGCAGTGAACAGACTTCCAATTTAAGTGTAAGCTCTAACCTATGATAATTAACTGAGTGGTATGTAGAGTAAGTGACACACCTAGAATACAATAAACCAATGTACAATTGAAAGCGGGTTTAGCATATAATAATGACCTAGTGAGTATAGGCTAGAGAAAGGAGAGGGTGCTAGTCATAGTTAGGACTGGAGATATATGAAATACTTACCTAGAAGGGTGGGTAAAGAAAATCCAGGGTGGTAAAATATTCGCCTCCTGTCTTTAATAAAATTTAGATTATTCGGTCACTATGAGTTAGAATAATCCCGAATTTTATGGCAAGACAGGAGGCTTCATATTTGCTATTTTAACGCAAAGATAGCATGGACAGAGAAACGTGTGGAGAATGTCTAAAATAAAAAGTACGGAAGGTGGATTCTCTAGGAATCCGCTAAGGAACCTCCAGCTATGAGTGCCAAGGAGGCGGCTGCGCCTCTAAGCGAGTGGGCTCCGAAAGACGCATCAATGCCAGCCAGGGCTAGAAGCCATTTAATCCAACGTGCAATAGTAGGGCACGAGACTGGTTTGTGAGGTCCTACATAAGATACCAGGAGGGGCCCAGTAGTTGCTCTGAGAGGGGTAGTGCGAGCGATATAGTGTCTTATACACCGGGCTACGCAGAGGAGGGGTTTCTCCGAGAAGTAGGGGTAGCTCACAGTAGATGAGTTGGTCTTGGTGCGTCTAGTGATATGAAAGTGTACCCCTTCCGGTGTGAAATCGAGGGCATGAAGGTCGAAAGCCCTGATGTCGGAAACTCTTCGGAAGGAGACCAAGCAAAGGAGGAGAGCTAATTTGGCTGACAATTGGCGTAGGGAGAGCGCCTCGTTGTCCGGCCAAGCTTCTAAGAATGTGAGCATGATGGCTACGTCCCAGAATTGATTATATTTGGGAGTCGGGGGTCTAGCGATGCGGATGCCCCGCAAGAGTCTACAAACAGAAGGATGTTTGCCTACTGAAGAATTTTCGATAGGAACGTGCACTGCAGAAATAGCAGACCGAAAAACGTTAATGGTCCGGTAGGATTTACCCTGGTCGAACAGAGACGACAGGAAATTGATAATAATAATTATAGATGTTGAAAAGGGATCAAGGTTCCTATCCAAGCACCAGCAACTACATAGATGCCATGCAGAGATGTAAAAGCGTCTGGTTCCCGGGGCCCATGAATCCCAAAGGAGTCCCTGAGCAGTTGTCGAAAGGCCTGAGACATTCCAAGATCCCCTGAAACGGTCCAAGCCACTAGTTGGAGATGATCCTGGATTGCCAATGGGTGAAAGTTGCCTGTCGGGTCTCTGAGGAGATCGCCGGCGTTGGATAGCAGAAGGGGAAGTCCACTGACATTTCCAGGAGGTAAGGATACCATGGTTGGGCCCACCATAGCGGGGTCACTAGTGTTATCTTGACATCCCTGAGTTTTGAGGTGCTGTAGTGTACGTGGAATCATGGAGAATGGAGGGAACGCATATGCCCCGGACATCGGCCACGTCTGTAAGAAGGCATCAACTGCAAGGCACGCTGGGTCCGGCAACCAGCTGTAAAATGCGTCCGTCTGCCTGTTGAGGCGAGATGCAAAGAGGTCCAGGTTGAATGGCCCCCGGCAGACCTGGAGACGGTGAAATATCTGTGGATTTAGTTGCCAATCGCTGGAGTCCCTCCAGTGTCGGGAGAACCAGTCTGCGACGAGGTTGTCTGATCCTGATAGATATTCCGCTCGGAGAGAGATATTCCTGTCTAGGCAGAACTGATATAATTCCTTGGTCAGATCTGAGAGCATCTTCGATTTGGAACCTCCTAGATGATTCACGTAACGAACTGCTGACACGTTGTCCATCTTCAGCACCACGGAACAGTTGTAGACATCCTTGGTGAAACTGCGGATTGCGAAGGAGCCTGCAATCAGTTCGAGGCAGTTGATATGAAGTGCTCGTTCCGAATGGGACCAGAGTCCTCCTGTAGAGCTTTCCGAGCAAGTTGCACCCCATCCGAGCAGACTTGTTGCGCCCCATCCGATTCCAGGATGAAGTCTGGTTGGGATCCGAAAATGGCTCTTCCATTCCAAGCGTCCATATGTTGTAGCCACCAATGGAGTTCGAGACGGACTTCGTCCATGAGTGTGATCTGTTGGTCGTAGGACGTCGACTGATGTAGGTATTGGGTCTTCAGGCATTGCAATGCCCGGTAGTGCAGTGGGGCAGGGAATATAGCCTGTATTGAGGCGGAGAGCAAGCCGATGGTGCGTGCTATATCTCGCAGGCGGAGGTGTGGTGATATCAGTAACCTCCGAATGTCTTTTTTTATGTATTTGATTTTGGATGCCGGAAGTTGAAGGACTGTTTGAACAGAGTCTATCTGGAATCCCAGGAATTATATCGTCTGGGACGGTGTTAGAGATGATTTCTGGTGATTGATCACAAAGCCAAGATTCTGCAATAGGACGGAGGTCATGCTTGTATGAAGGTGGAGAGTTTCTTGGTCCTGTGCCATGAGGAGGATATCGTCCAGATAAATTATGGAGCAGATTCCTTGGGAGCGCAGTAAGGCCATCACTGGTTTCATTAGTTTGGTAAAGCACCAGGGTGCAGAAGATAGGCCGAAGGGGAGGCAGGTGAACTGCCATAGTGCTTGTTCCCAACGAAACTGAAGGAGGCAGCGGTGTGCTGGTGTTACCGGCACCGTGAGGTATGCATCCTTTAGGTCGAAGCGGGAGAACCAATCTCCCTCGGAGAGTAGGTCTCTCAATAAATGGATCCCCTCCATTTTGAAGTGACGGTATGTGATGAACCTGTTCAGATCTCTCAGGTTGATGACAGGTCGTAGACCTCCTGATTTTTTCTTGACTAGAAACATGTTGCTTATGAAGATCTGTGGGCCAACAACTCTTTCGATCGCACCCTTGGTGAATAGATCGTCGAGTTCGCTCCGTAGAGTCGACTCGTCTAACAGTGACATTTTGATTGGGGTAGGAGGAGAATTTTGTATTGGTTTGTCTGAAAAGTCCAGGTGGAACCCGGACACCGTCTGAAGGATCCAACGATCCTGAGTGAGTTGAGACCACTGTTGGGAAAAAAGGGTTAACCGGCCTGCAATAGGAATATGAGAATAAGGAAGGTCCATTACCTGTAGCAGTGCGACCGCGGAGGGAAGCGGATCCACGTCCTCGGATAGCTCCGCGAGAGGGGAAAAATTGCCTGTGGTGGAATCGGGTATTGCCCGAGTTCCAGGTGTCTGAAGGTCGAGGCTTGTAGCCTGTGAAGGCAGCTCTGCCAGTCGCTCGGCCTCTATAGTGACCAGCTCTTCCGGAAAAACGCTGAGTGCGAAATACCTTGCGAATGGAGGATTGTGCCTTTGTCAGCGTAGTAAAAACAGAGACGTGCTTACTTAGCTCTTTTATGAACTTGTCTCCGAATAACATGCCTTGAGCCTCTGGACCAAGTTCTTTAGTGCCCAATTCGGCAAGCTTGGCATCGATTTTATAAAGGACGGCCTTCCGCTGTGCAGTTGATATTGCCACATTGGCATTGCCTAAAAGGCATAAGGCCCTTTGTGCCCACTCTCGCACCATATGTGCATCAAATGTGCCACCTGATAAAGCCTCGTCTGCAATAATGAAGATTTGTATGAGCGGGCCTGCCACATCCATCAACTTGTCTTGAGTGGCTTTCAGACCCTGTTCTAGACCCTTACGGGGGTCTTTCCCTGACTTGGTTAGAAAGGTCACAAGGAAAGGGTCAAATTCGGGTGTATTGGCCACCTTGTCTGGGATAGTGGGGCGTGGGCATTCTGCCCTTAATTTGGCTCTCACCTCTTTTTCTAAAGGCCGACGGAGCCACATTCTACAGTATTTGGCAATGCGGTCCGGGGGCGTCCATTCGGCCAATCTAGGGTGCCTGATGCATCTGGGGTCAAATAAAGGGCAGCCAGAGGTGTCAAATAAGGTATCCTCTTTTAAGTTAGGGTTTTCAGAGGTGAGATCAGACTCCAATTGGAATTCCTCTAGAGGTATGAGGGGGGGTTCATTAGTTGCAGAATCGGAAGGGTAAAGGTCTCGGAATGTCTTATGAGGCGGAGCCTCAGTATCTGTGTTCTGCGTAGTATTCGTCTAATACTTGGAGATTATAATTAGAGGTTGAACCCTCAAATGCGTCAAAATCATGTTAGGAGGTGGTTTGCTTTGGTTTAGAATAGGGCACTTTAGGATGTTTAGCAGGCGCTTTGCCTTTACCGGCGGTGGCGCTATCGCCCTTCCAAGGGCGTTTGCGAGGGGCTTCTTCAAGCTCTGAAGCATGAGAATCCTCGGAGTCTGAGAGTTGGGTAATGGTCGCCGTAGGGGCTGGGATTGTTTGCTTGCGGAAAGCCGCTAGAGCTTTGGGTATAGATTCAGTAATGGCATTGAATAGCCAAGCCTTAAGTTCGGCAGAAACTGCTGGTTCTGGCACATCCGACATAATGTCAGTAACAGTGGGGTCACCACAAAAGAAATTAATTATTATATTTACAATATATATAAAAAGTTTTTTTTTTTTGTGTGCATACAAACTAATTACAATGAGGCGGTGGACTTAGACTGCGTGTAAAAAGCAGGAGAGCAATTATCCTGTAACAGATGGGTTCGTCCAGAATTTATCAGTGGGGTTCACCCAGAGAGAGAAGGGCAGTATAGTGTCCAAGATCTAATAACAGGTATGTGCCTGTGTTATCATATAGGGATTACCCTGTATAGAGGCAGCAAAGGGGGTCACCCTTGAAGGAAAGGCTAGAGGGGGTCACCCTCAGAGTAAAGGCTGGAGGGGGTCACCCTCAGAATTAAGCAAGGATTTGTGTAAGCTGTGGTAATTAAGCTGAAATCTGCAAGAAAAAATGAAAATTTTGAGTATGGGTATGTATCTTTAATTTTTTAAAACTAAAGGGTCTGGGGCTTTAAGAGGTAAAAATATATACTTACCAAGCGGCTTGGTCGCGTCCTGCAGTGAGAGCAGAGATGCGAGGGAACCGCCGCGCATAAGCTTGCCACAGGATGGCGCTGAGAGGGAAGCCCGGGAAAAAGACTGATAGAAATGGCCGCGGCATGAAAAAAAGGCGGGACGCGTTTCTATGGAGATGCCAGGGCAACAGACATAGTGTGTGTGGAAACTGAGCGGCTGAGCGGACCGGCAAGATGCCGGGCGCCGCGGGGAAGGTGTTAGAAAATAAACTGACAGAACGATAAAATAATAATAGTGAAGAAAAGTGAGGTAAAATTAATTTGTGGGCTGACTGGAGTGTCAGCCCATGAAACCTAAGTAAATAGAAGAAAAAGCAGAAACAGATATTAGGAAAACTGAATGAGAAATATTAAAATATCAAAATAATACACAATATATATTAGTCAGTTAAAAATAGAGCATTAATAGGAGTATAATTAGAATAGACTCACCTGTGAGGCTAAGCAGCAAAGAAAGAGGAATTGGGAGGAGCCTGATGACAGCTTATACTACTGTAATGCATACTGATTGGTTAAACTTTTTTTACACTGCTGTTAACTGTTTCTTTGCTGCTGGGAGTTACAGTAAAGAAAGATGAGCAAATATGAAGCCTCCTGTCTTGCCATAAAATTAAATTTATGTGTTACTCTTTCTTGAACAGTTTGGCATAAAAATATAGATCAAGTTAAGGATATGTTTATGTATGTGACTCTTTCAATTTTCTCTTAACTTTAAAAGGGACATCAAAGGAACCCTTAAATATATTCAGAATGAGATCTTATCCACAGGTCCAGTCAATATTTGATAAATAGAAAAGAACAAAAAGTACTTACCACTGACAACTTTGACTAAAGTTTTTTGTAACATGCAAAAAAGAATAATTTGAATAGTTTTAAAGGCACATACACATTAAGATATTTTAACGTGGCTTAATAATGATGATCAAAAGAAAAATTGACATGTATAATGAAAACTATTTATTCATTAAAAGTGACAAATGGAATGAAACCATAGATTACAAGAAAATTAAAAAAGAATGCTTTGAAATACATAATAAAAATGTGTAAACTATCTATTTTCAAAATTTGAGATTCTTCCAATGCTTATTTCTGTTCATTGTAAAATTGAAAATGTTAGATAAGAATTACATTTATGTGTTACTCTTTCTTGAAAAGTTTGGCATAATAATATAGATCAAGTTAAGGATATGTGTATATATGTGACTCTTTCAATTTTCTCTTTAACTTTAAAAGGGACATCGAAGGAACCCTTAAATAGATTCACAATGAGATCTTGTCTACATGTTGATCCGTGTCCAGACGATATTTGATGAATTGCAATAAATGAAAAGCACTTACTGCTGACAGCTTTGACTAAAGATTTTTGTAACATGCAAAAAATAATAATTTCAAGAATTTTAAAGGCATATATACATTAAGATATTTTAATGTAGCTTAATGATCAAATTAAAAATTGACATGTATACTTAAAATTATTTATTTAATAAAAGCGACGAATGAAATGAAAGCATAGATTACAAGAAGATTCAAAAAGAATGCTTTGAAATACATTATAAATATGTGTAAACTATCTATTTTCAAACTTTGTGCTTCTTCCAATGGTAAATTTTGTTCATTGTAAAATTGAAAATCTTAGATAAGAATTAGATTTAAGTGTTACTCTTTCGTGAAAAGTTTGGCATAATAATATAGATCAAGTTAAGTATATGTTTATGTATGTGACGCTTTCAATTTTCTCTTTAACTTTAAAAGGGACATCGAGGGAACCCTTAAATAAATTCACATTGAGGTGTTTTCCACTGTTTGGTCCATGTCCAGTCAATATTTGATGAATAGAAAAAAATGAAAAGCACTTACCGTTGACAATTTTGACTAAAGCTTTTTGTAACATGCAAAAAAAGAATAATTTCAAGCGTTTTAAAGGCATATACATATTAAGATATTTTAATGTAGCTTAATGATGATCAAAAGAAAAATTGACATGTATACTTAAAATTATTTATTCAATAAAAGCGACGAATGGAATGAAACCATAGATTACAAGAAATTTCAAATAGAATGCTTTGAAATACATAATACAAATGTGTAAACTATCTATTTTCAAACTTTGTGATTCTTCCAATGCTAAATTTTGTTCATTGTAAAATTGAAAATCTTAGATAAGAATTTCATTTATGTGTTACTCTTTCTTGAAAATTTTGGCATAATAATATAGATCAAGTTAAGGATATGTTTATGTATGTGACTCTTTCAATTTTCTCTTTTACTTTAAAAGAGACATTGAGGGAACCCCTAAATTGATTCAAAACGAGTTTTTGAACACAGGCTGGTCCGTGTCCAGATGATATTCGATGAAGAGAAAAAAACAGAAAGCACTTAACGTTGACAAGTTTGGCTAACACTTTTAAAGCTTTTTGTAACATGCAAAAAAAGAATAATTTCCAGAGTTTTAAAGGCACATACACAGTAAGATATTTTAATGAAGCTTAATAATGATGATCAAAAGAAAATTTTTCATGTATACTTAAAATGATTTATTCAATAAAAGCGACGAATGAAATGAAACCATAGTTACAGGAAAAATGAAAAAGAATGCTTTGAAATACATTATAAACATGTGTGAACTATCTATTTTCAAACTTTGAGATTCTTCCAGTGCTAATTTTTGTTCATTGTAAAATTGAAAATCTTAGATAAGAATTAAATTTATGTGTTACTCTTTCTTGAACAGTTTGGCATAATAATATAGATCAAGTTAAGGATATGTTTATGTATGTGACTCTTTCAATTTTCTCTTTAACTTTAAAAGGGACATCGATGGAACCCTTAAATAGATTCACAATGAGATCTTGTCCACAGGTTGGTCCATGTCCAGTCAATGTTTGATAAAAAGAAAAGAACAAAAAGTACTTACCACTGACAACTTTGACTAAAGTTTTTTGTAACATGCAAAAAAGAATAATTTGAATAGTTTTAAAGGCACATACACATTAAGATATTTTAACGTGGCTTAATAATGATGATCAAAAGAAAAATTGACATGTATAATGAAAATTATTTATTCAATAAAAGCGACAAATGGAATGAAACCATAGATTACAAGAAAATTAAAAAAGAATGCTTTGAAATACATAATAAAAATGTGTAAACTATCTATTTTCAAAATTTGAGATTCTTCCAATGCTAATTTTTGTTCATTGTAAAATTGAAAATGTTAGATAAAAATTACATTTATGTGTTACTCTTTCTCGAAAAGTTTGGCATAATAATATAGATCAAGTTAAGGATATGTCTATGTATGTGACTCTTTCAATTTTCTCTTTAACTTTAAAAGGGACATTGATGGAACCCTTAAATAGATTCACAATGAGATCTTGCCCACAGGTTGGTCCGTGTCTAGTCGATATCCGATGAATAAAAAAGAACGGAAAGCACTTACCGCTGACAACTTTGGCTAACTTTTTTAAAGCTTTTTGTAACATGCAAAAAAGAATAATTTCCAGAGTTTTAAAGGCACATACACAGTAAGATATTTTAATATAACTTAATAATGATGATCAAAAGAAAAATTGAAATGTATACTTAAAATTATTTATTCAATAAAAGCGACGAGTGGAATAAAACCATAGATTACAAGAAAATTCATAAAGAATGCTTTGAAATACATTATAAACATGTGTAAACTATCTATTTTCTAACTTTGTGATTCTTCCAATGCTAATTTTTGCTCATTGTAAAATTGAAAATGTTAGATAAAAATTACATTTATGTGTTACTCTTTCTCGAAAAGTTTGGCATAATAATATAGATCAAGTTAAGGATATGTGTACGCCGGCCCCGCTGTGTTCCATGAAGGGCCGGTGGGGAGATCAAAGATCTCCCTCACCGGCCCACATGCGCTCAAATGCGGCCGCCGGCGGGGAGAGAGGGGGGAGCCAGTAGAGAGGACCCGGCGGAGCTCTAACTTGCAGCTCTGCCGGGTTTCTCTCGCGAGATCCGGACCGTTGCTATGGCAACTGGCCGGGTCTCGCGAGAGTGAACTCTAGCCCCAAAGGGCTAGAGTTCACTTACCACGAGGACCACCAGGGATGGCTGGCAGGAGCACGACCCCCCCCCCTTCCAGACTATAGGTAAGAATAGAGGGGGGGGATATAATGTATTTATTTTTATTATAATATTTATTATTATGTATTTATTTTTATTATTTATTATTAGTATTTATTATGTATTTATATTTATTATGTATTTATTTTTATTATTTATTATTATTATTATTATTATTATGTATTTATTATTATTTTTAGTAAATAATAATAGTGCCATTTACCTGCCTCCCCCAATACAAAATCCTTGCAAACACACACATCACCCTCACCCAGCACCCTAACACATACACAGCACCCTAACACACACACAGCACCCTAACATTGACACAAAGTAATCTCTAACATTGACACAGCACCA